GTGTGTGTGTGTGTGTGTGTGTGTGTTTTGGCAACGTTGTTTTCTCTTTTGTGACTGTCATGACACTCTAAATTAGACTGCTGTATTATACTAACATTGTTTGCTCTTTGATTGGCTAGAAAGCTTGTCTCTGTAACACCTACCTTAGCTTTTATATTATTGAAATGATCTGATTCTAAAGCTGATTGATAAAGATATACAGGATTACCATGGTCATGGAAAACTTAGAAATGAGCATTCATTTATTTATTTATTTATTCCCTCCATATGTGACCCTGGACCACAAAACCAGTCTTAAGTTGCTGGGGTATATTGGTAGCAATAGCCAAAAATACATTGTACTGGTCAAAATGATTGATTTTTCTTTTATGCCAAACATCATTAGGATATTAAGTAAAGATCATGTTCCATGAAGATATTTTGTAAATGTCCTACTGTAAATATATTAAAACTTAATTTTTGATTAGTAATATGCATTGCTAAGAACTTCATTTGGACAACTTTAAAGGTGATTTTCTCAATATTTTGATTTTTTTGCACCCTCATATTCCAGATTTTCAAATAGTTGAATCTCGGCCAAATGTTATCCTATCCTAACAAACCATACATCAATGGAACGCTTATTTATTCAGCTTTCAGATGTTGTCTAAATCTCAATTTTGAAAAATTGACCCTTATGACTGGTTTTGTGGTCCAGGGTCACATATAGGGCTGGACAATAATTCAATATCAATATGTATCGCGATATAATTCTTTTCAATAACGGTGATATGATTTTTAAACACATTGAAATATACCGTGATATCAATTTTGGCCATATCGTCCAGCCCTAGTCACATATTATGAAATTCAGACCTGGAAAAGGCAATTAAAAGGCAGCTAAGGAATAATGTTCTGAGAGCTACATTTCATTTTCATGCAGGTTACTTCAAGGTTGATGTGCATGAACATTACAGGCAGACTTTGTGCAATTGATGACTAGCACCATTGAGTGGTTTTCTATAAATGAAGCATAATCGGACTGACTCAGAGACTGAGGGCACTAACACAAAAAGGTCTTTGGTGTGATCTGACGTAACACTCCCTTAATAGTGCACATGGCATGTCTGCGGCATGGATTACTTCATGTTATATATCCAGCATAGATTGTGATGGTTGTGCTGTTTTCTCTGCAGTCCGGCGTCTCCAGTAGTTCCTCTTTGAAGAGCTCCCACTCCACTGTATGTATCTGTGACCGTTTACGTTTATTCTCCATTGATTGTCAGTAGTTCTGCGTTTAAGTATTTTATATTATTCCAGTTTGACATTTTATAAGGGCAGACATCCAGATCTGGGATCTTTGTTTTTTGATGTGGCTTTTTAAATCAAAGATTTTTTATTTAATTTAAAGTCCGCGTGAACCAGAAGTTGATGCCGACTTTATTTCAATGTAGTGACGTATTTCCATCTGAAACGGAATATTGAATAGAGGGCATGGCTTTATTTTGGAGCTCCTCCTCTCTGTCTCTCAGTCATATCAAACTAACGGTTGGAGGGGTGTGTTTAAGGATATTCTGCCCAAGCCGTCAAACTGACGTCATCAGAGAAGGAATGCCATTCCAAAGCGGAAGCAAATGTGCAGATTTTGATTAAAGATTACCGAGACAAACAAATTTTTTCAGCGGATTAACTTGCGCGGATTAATTCACATCAAGACTTGCAATGTGTGCTAGTAAAGTAAATAAAGTCAATTTTGATTTCATGCGGACTTGAATATATGTTTCAGAGTAAAGCACTGCACTGTGTTCCTTTACACATGGGCAGCTCATGATCCGATCCAGTGTTTTCAGTGTCTCAGAGTAACTCTGTTCTCAATTAATGCTGCCCTACACAAACTACAAGAATTTGGGAACGAAAAATGTGCCAAACTTCCCAAACTTTTAATGAGAAGTGCTTATAAACAGGTTCTTGTCAACAAAAGAGAAGCTGTAGGGATTCTCTGCGGTTTTCCATCCATTTAGGACTGCCATAAATATTAGTATTGCAATTTTACATTTGTAAAATAGAATAAAAATTATTATTATTTGAAGTATTTCAATAGTAATATTTTTTTATATTTAGTCTTTAGTAATAATACTAAAAATAGTAGTAGTAGTTATTATTATTATTATTATTTTTATTTTTTTTACAGCCCTTCAAATAATCACATTTGAAATCACAATCAACTTTTATCAAGAAAATTGCAATTAGATTTTCCTCTCAAATCAAGCAGCCCTACTGGTTCCAAAATTAGTGAGTTATTATCAGTAGTAAGAGAAAGCATTTTGCATTTGTGCTCTTCTCTTCCAGAGCTCTATATATAATGATCTTCACAAAAAACCTGTTGGAAGTAGCTCCAAAAAGGACCTTCTGGTCTGTACTGATCAATATCCTGAACTCAAAAGCTGATTCATTCTTAATGCATCATCATGAATGTGTTCTTCCAGGTTTAGAGCATGATATTTCAGATTTATGACTGTGATTCATATCAGATATGTCTTAATTTCCCATTGCTTTACACCATTTCCTTAGACTGGATTGTATCATGACCAAAGAAATTACACCAGCTTAAAGAACTCCAAACCTTCTCCCTCTACTGTCTCTACCTATACACCACGGGTTTGTCTCCTTCCTTTCTGCATGTTTATTACTCTCACACTGCAAAATGTTTGGAGGAAAAGTCTTTACATCCTCCTGGAAAGTTTCTTCCTAATTACAATAAATGATGTATGGAGTTCGTTTTTCTTGTCTTATCAAGGTTTTTATTTCAGTACTGGTTGTTCCTTTAGTTTTAAAAGCTAGTCTGGCATCATCTGTTTGACTCGGTGGTTTAGTGGAGATATCTGACAGCTGTTGCTTGTGGTTTGACCTTCACAGGCTCCCTCCAGCAGCAGTTCTACAGGTCTGACGCGCAGCTATAGTGTGGTCAGTCTGATTTTCAGCACATCTGCCATGTGATTGGATGTGATTAAACCCCACTGTTGTATAAGCCTCTTTGTCATCTGTTCATTTAAAAATTGTGAGATCTGTGTCCTCAGGCCTCCATTTGTGACGACGGTCTTTATGGTTCATATAGTTCCCGAGCTGTAAGTGGTGCCATAGTATATATACTGAAATAATAATCATATCATAACGCTGGAGCAGTGTTAGCTCAGTGGTCAGTGTTATTCCCCCGCAGCCCTCTGAATGCAGCTGGTATTCTTCTGGTGCCAGTTCCACCCGAAGCAGCCCTGTGGTGAGTGTTCGCATGTGTCCAGAGCTGAGGCAGCTGCTCATGCATGTGTTCATTCTGAAACGCCAGTGTGTGCTTATATATTATTCACTCTATCAGATAATTCACCTTTTTAAAGTAGATGTTTGCACTAGTCTAACTCCAGGTATTGAGCCTTAGTGTGTAACTCATTCTGCATTATTTGTGTTATGAACATGAATGATATCAAATTGTGTAGCATGTTAAGGAGAGGTGTGTTTGAACTAAGTGATTGAACTTACTGTTTATGGAAAAAAAAAAAACTTCATAAAACTACAGTGAAGAAGGGACTGAGCTACACTCTACTGTTCAAAAGTCTGTGGTTGGTAATAGGGTTGTGACGGTGAGGAAATTTTCCCACCGGTTAATCGACATGTGACAACACCGATAATATCGGTATCACCGTGGGGACAGGGGCGTTCCCTCTTTTCCTCGCTTTCCTTCACTTTTAAATAGCTTGCAAAAGCAGCGTGCGCATTTTACTTTCACTTTCAAATAGTGGCAATTCGGCGTAAAGAAATTGTTTGTTTTTAGTTCGTTTGAATTTTCCCTCTTTTCCTTGCTTTCCTTTGCTTTTAAATAGCTTAAAAGCACCGTGCAATTAGTGGCAATTCGGCGTCAATTGCTTGAATGCAACAACAAAATACAACGTCAAACTCACTTTAGCCTATATATAAAACAGAACTTTTATTAACAAAACAAATAAAAATACACCATGCTATAGGGCAGGCTATGCCTAATATAAAAGAACAAATAACTTACATAGTTTAAACAGGTAGCCTATACAAAACTGGAAATAAGTAGGCCTAAGCATGTATAATATATAACCAAATAAATAAGAAACGTAGAAAGTTTATTAGCAAACCGAATAAAAAAGCTTGGAGGCACGGCATACACCTTGATGCAGGGCTGTACGTTAACTTTTTTTTCACATAGCACTGGTGCTACAGAGGTTGAGAGGTTTGTAGCACAGGCCAAAAAGTTGTAGCACAAGTATAAAACGTCTGTTATCATGTCTGAAAACAAACACAAGTAATGGAGTTCATCACTTAAACAGGCACTGATGTTCCATACAGAGCACAAAAAATACAAACCATCACAAAAATTGTTTTTAGACAAAGTTTTCTTAATTTGCTAAAAATGGAAGAGTGCAGAAACATAACACCTCTTACACCTTAACAAAATATAAAATAAAAAAAGAATGGCAGACATTTAGGCCAAAGTGAGCAAAGATAAAAATCTTTGTCATTATTTTATCTTTGTTATTAGAAAATAAGAACAAGGATATACATTACAAATACACATAATATACAAATATACAGAAGAGTCAAGTTTTAAATAGGAAAAATATAGAAATTCTTTGGTCATTTTTGAGCGAGATGCTAACGGTCTAATCAGATTCAGTGATATATGCTAAGCTACAGCTAAAAGTGCTAACACCAGACCAGGAGATCGGCTGAATGGATTCGAAAACGGTAAAACTCAACTGTTTAACTCTAGGGGAGTTGGAAAATGAGCCT